CCCCCTTTCACCTTGCATCTCTTCTTCAGGACCTTTTTCCTTACTCAGAGCTGGTTTATCACTCTTGGAGGAACTCCCACCTTCTTGCTCAACTAAAACTTGAGGTGGCCTATAGAATGAGGAAACTTCATCAAAAACAACATCTCGAGACACTACGTACCTGTGTGTCTCTGGATCCATACACCTCCACCCTTTTCTTTGTTCGTCATAGCCAACGAAGATGCACTTCTTCGCCTTTGCCTCCAACTTGGTTCTTTGAGAATCAAACACATGGACGTAGCAGACTGATCCAAATATCCTGAGATGTTTCACTGACGGCTTCTTCCCATGAATCATCTCATACGGAGACTTCATGTTATTTGGGCTGAGTGGCATCCGATTTATGACGTACACTGCGCATCTCATGCCTTCTGCCCACAAGGCTTTAGGCAGATCCTTCCCATATAGCCAGCTTCTGCACGTCTCAGTTAGATGTCGAATCTTCCTTTCCGCTACTCCATTTTGTTGAGGTGTATACGGACAAGTAAACTCTCTCTTTATTCCATGCTTTTGACAAAAAGAGAGAAACTCCTTGGACATGAACTCCCCTCCATTATCTGTCCTTAAGGTCTTGATTCTCCGACCCAGTTCTCCTTCCACGGTAACCTTGAATTCTTGAAATTTGGAGAATACTTCTGATTTTTCCTTCACAAAGTATACCCAAGTGTGCCGTGAGAAGTCATCAATGAACAGCAACATGTACCGAAACCCGGAATATGAGGGTGTTCTTGTAGGACCCATCAAATCACTATGGATCCTCTCCAACAGAGCACTGCACCGTGAAGTAGAATTGTCAAATGGAAGTCTATGTGATTTTCCATATTGACAACCTTCACAAAGCTTTCCTTCATCTTGGATCTTCAGCTTCGGAAGCCCATTTACCAACTCCTTATTCACCATAACCTTTAGCTTAGTCATGTTTATATGACCAAGCCGAGCATGCCATATAGAGGCATTGTCGTTTGTACTCATCTTCTCCACGTATGAGTTGGACGCAGATAAGACATATAGATCCTTAACCCGCGATCCGGTGTGAACCACATCCGCCTTTAACTCTTTAATATTCTTCAAGAATTTGACGTCTCTTGGGCCAAATAAAATGTAGTTACCTGAGTCTACTGCATTCACCACAGAGAGAAGATTATTCCTTACTCCAGGGACATGGTATACATTCTTGAGGGTGATAGGGCTTCCATCTTCTCCTTCAATGACAACAGTCCCTTCCTTCTTGACCCGGTGAACTGAATTATCCGTGGTAATTATGGCTTCTTTTCTATCATGGCGCTGAAGACTAGAAAATAGCTTTTCGTCTCCGGTAATATGGTGGCTACAACCCGAATCCACAATCCAATCATTTTCAAGATTTTTAGTTGTGGATATACCTGAAGATGCAGCCTCCACCGTGAAGCATTTCCCCCATTCTTCGTCTTCAATATGACCTTTTGATTCTGCCATATTTGTCTCCTTCAGCTTGACTCGACAATCCTTTTTGAAGTGCCCAAGCTTTCCACACCGGTAGCACTTGAATTGCTTCTTATCTCCAGTAGAAGATCCTTCCGGTCCATCGATGTTCTTTGCACCATCGTATTTGGATTTGGCTTTGAAGTTGTGTTGCTTCCGAGCTACAAAGGCGCTCCCCGAGTCATCATGGATTTTGACTCCTGCCATTTGCGTAGCTAATGACTCTTGCGAAGCTAGCAGGTTCTCGAACTCCTCCAAGGAAGGTTGTGTAGCCCATCCTTGAACCGAAGTCACAAACGGTGTATACTCAGGTCGTAGACCTCGAATAATATACCGTTTTAAACGTGCTTCGGAAATTGACTCCTCCGGATTTAGAGTATTAATCTCTGAGCGAAGATTCTTTACCTTGATGAAAAACTCTGAGATTGAAGACTCCCCCTGCTTTGCATTCGCCAACTCGTTCTCTAACAGTTGTAGCCGAGCTTCATTCTTCTTGTTGAACAACTGATCTAACGCCTGCCAAATGGAACTAGCGGATGTGCAACTTGAGACATGCTCAAAGACTCCCGAGGATATTGACCTCTTCAATGCAAACTCCGCCTTGGCATTCTTCCGTGTCCACTCCTTTGTCGCTTCCGCTGTCGCAGCAGCTCGCCTTGGTGGTGTTGTGCTACTGCCGCCGACGATATCCCATAAGTCCTCACTCACCAAGTATGACTCCATGCATGACTTCCATAACCGGTAATTGGATTGGTTTAGAATCTCCATTCCCAACCCAACAACGCGACCCATTGACTCCATACTTAGAGTAAATCTGAGATCTCAATTAATCCGATCTTGAAAAAGAACCAGATCAGAATGGCTCTGATACCATGTAAAGAAAACACCGATAGTGCCAAGCACTAGCCCAAGACCGTAATACCCGAGAGATCTGAAAGAAACAAAGACCCTCTAAGTATGAATAATAAGATGAAAGAATACTTAGAGAAAACTTGAAGAAACTTTAGAGAGAATAAGAGAACTTATGAAGAACACTCTTTCTTTATTTGTTCAACTTCTCTTGTTTACAAATGATGGAGTAGTAGGCTATTTATAGGCTCCACTTATTACAAAATATCTTACAAACATTCTCCTAATCTCTAGAATTTTCTACAATAATATCTAGAATTTTAACTACAACATCTAGAATTATCTATAGAATTATCTAGATATTTAACTAATAGAATTCTCTAGAACATTTAAGAAAGATGATGATTTTTAGTGATGTTTCTAGAGATTCTAGAACTTGAGCTTAATTTTGGGCCTAATCTAATAACTAATAATTATTTTATAAACCCAAAATTAAGCTTAACCCAAAATCAAGTTTAACTTCAATAATTAGAAGTTTTTTTTTCCTGTGTTTAATCATACATTCAACAAGATATATATCATAAATATTTTGCATTTTTGATACTTCTTTCATTCGTGTAGATTGGGATGTGATGTTATTATTAGAGAAGAAGAGTGGTCGTGGTTCACCAAACTTATTTGTTCTTCTTTGTTTTGTCTTCTTCACCCGGACCACATCGAATATTAGTTACTATTTTTACTAAATTCAAAAGCATTGTTGTTCTCCTTCAACGGGTTCAAATAAAGTGTCAAGTACATTGTGACTGATTTCTATAACTACATTGCACGTCTGTAGTTTTCCTCAACAATCCGGGAACTTATAGAGTTTCCTTTTTTTTATTAAAAAAAGAAAGTATTTTCAATATAGAAAAAGAAATTTAAAACAACAAAACCATAGAAATGCTAGGTAATTAGTGTTTTTAGAACCTGTTACAATTTCGTTACAATTTTTAACAAGTGCCACATGATAATGAAAACAAAAAAATCTGTATTACGTAAAAATGAGAAAATTTATGTTTTTAATATATAGCGTGTTGAATTTGTTTGTTGTGGATAATCCTGGCGTTCGGACTTCGGTTCAGGTTCAGATCGGGTGTTTTGAATTATCGGATTTTCGGATTTGATTATTCGGATTTTATCATAATTCGGACCGGGATTGGTTCGGAACCACTTGGGTTCAGATCGATTAAGACTAACAATAAACGATCCACTTTAAATCGAATATATAATCAGTTCGGATATGATCAATTTTTTTTATCCGAAGTAACTATTTTAGAACCGAACTACTCAAACAATCCACTTAATCAACACACAAACATAAAGGAAAAAATTAGATATTAATCTTAAATTCATCAAAGCAACAATAACAAAGTTTAAAATCATAAGTTCAAATAAAATAACATCAATCAAACCGAGATCAAAGTTCAAACTCAAACAAAATAACACCAACCAAACCGAGATCAAAGTTCAAACTTGTAACAAAATAAATAAATTCAACCAAGAAATATAATTGGTTATCTTCGGGTTTTTGTGTGAATGCGGTTTAAAACTGAACCGATCCATAATCCAAAACAATCTCCATTCAGGTTTTTGACCAGATTCGTAACCGGTCCAAAACCGCTTGTTCAGTTTCGAGTTCAGTTTGAACTTCGGATTCAGTTCAAAACGCCCAGAACTAGTTGTGGAAAACTGTTGTATGCGCAAAAGTACTTATACTACTGTACTTTTATCGTTGTATCACACCTCTCAAATTTAAATATATATATATGTATAAGTTTATTTTTAAATATAGAAGAATATTTTTTATTCATTACAAAATCTCCAAAATAACTCCTTTCCAATTACTCGCTGACGATGACAGGCATCAGAATGGCCTTTACTTCTTGTAGTGTGTTATTAAATATTTTGATGTTATCATATGACCTATTATTTATTGTCTACGTACGGTCTGGCGAATCTTGTTGGGTACAGTATACGAAACACACGGACTAGAGGGACTCCACCCATATAATTTCTACCCTAGTATTGATCAACCCACTAAACACTCCATGCAATTTTGTAAATAGTGGCTTTAATTAACTCTCATTTGAAATGGAGAGTATGAATTTTTCGTGAATACATTCTATTGGCTCTCATAGTCGACACTCGACAGAGTCACAGAGACAAAATTTGAGAATAACGAAGCCCACGTTTTAGATTGTCCACATCATATAATATAATATGGTCGGTCCATTTCATTGACTTCCCTCTCTTAGCATGTCCTTCATCAAAAACATTTGCTTTGAATTTTTTTAATCGTATTTTTTTGTATTTCATACTAGTTAATATTCGACTTAATAGCTCTGAGATGGGCTTCACAATGATAATTAAGTACATCTACTGAAATCTTTTTATAGGATAGAAACTACATCTTATCACTTTACGAGTCGCGCTAGTTGGCATTTTGCAAATAAATCTCAGTGTTTTTCTCTTGTGGATGCAACATAACGGATCTAAATCACAAATGTGTTATAACATCGACAGATTGACTATTCGAGCACACAGCCACTTATTATTCGGATTTATAAATGGCTCTACTATATGTTACGTACACTCTAATTTTCTTTTTTTATAAAAGAAAAATATAAAATTAGAGTACTCTTGGCATTTTACGTCCAACAGAGAAAAATAGAACAAAATCTTAAGTAAATATGAAAACGAAAACGTATCTATATCTTGTTGAATAGTATTATATACTTTATAAGAAGAACAAAAAGTTTCCTGTTTCATCATATATATTTACTTAACAAGTTTTTGTGGATTTTTGCCAAATGAGCTCAAGCTCTCGAGCAAAGTCTTTTTGTCGGCCGACGACAATAGTGATGTGGTCTTTGTCAGGAATGACGTGGACAGTGGCACGTGGCACTTTGGTCTTGACGCCGTAGCTACACTCCACAGGAATGACCTCGTCCTTGCCACCGTGGAATATGGTGACGTCACAGTCGACGTGGTCACGGACATGGTCTAGATACGACTCGAGCTTACCTCCTGACCCGAAGATGATGTTGTGTAATGTGTGCCATGATCCGTTGTGTGTGTGACATAAAAACCCTTCTATCAAATACGTCTTCATCCTGCATATATATTTTATTGTTATCTTGTACTCTCACTTTATAAAAAGTGAAACATATTTATGATATTAAAAATGCCAAAATGGAATTTAATGGATCAAATAATGGAGGAGACATGGTCGATATAAGTCGCTTTCGGTGTTTAACGACATTTTTCTATTACATAAAGCTATTAGCTGCATTCTCGCATTTCCTAATGAAGTATCGAATACTTTTATGTAAAAATTACTAAAGTAAACTAATAATCAAAAATTTTATTTACTAGAAGTTTTGTCTAACAATCCCAAAACGTCAATTTTAAGACATTGAAGATGAGTAGGGGACGAGTGGTTGGTTCATTAATAAAACCTTTAGACTTTTTGATACATTTCGGTGTTCCCCTAATCTCATGCACCGTTAACTTCGGGTCAATTTTGCTTATTCAATTTTCAACAAAATAATTTGTGGACGTAAACGATCAATCGATCGTCGTCTAATTAAATTGAAATGTGATTAAGGCCACGATTGCTTCTTTTAGTTTGTACGTTTGCATTTGTTCTCGTCATCATGATTTAGACTATTAAATTATGAAAATGCAAACGTAACGAGATCATCGTAGCTAACTAATGCTGTATGATATTTAAATAAGTACCTGTTTAGGGTAAGGAGACGAGTGAGAGATTCAAGCAAGCGATGGTTTTTGCAGAGTACAAGGCAAACAGTGCGGCCAATGTGTTCGTACCAGCTAATTAGCGATGCACCAAACTGCATCGGTGGCCAAACGTTCTTAGGAGCCACTTTCCTCATCACATATTGCGCCGCGTGTACTCCCTTTGGCACCTTGTAATACGGCTGCCATATTCATATATACAGTTAGTTCCAAAACTATACAACACAAATTATAGGTGATTCAGTTTTAATTTAGATACTATCATTCTTAAACCGGAAATCCAAAAACCAAAACACCGAATTTGAAAACTTCCATATTAGCAGTCTTGTGATTTTTGGTTCTACTAATAAACTAGCTAGTTTTTCCTTTTTACTTTCATGAAAACTCCGTTTAAATAATTCTCCCATTTATTATAGACAAAAGAACATGAAATACTTGTTGAAAAGTCTCTACAATTGTATATTTCTACTCAGTATCAATTGTTATGAATTGGAACTTTCCTAAGAAAATTGAATTTCTAGAAGATATGTATAGTTGACTTACAGGAGCCAAGAGAGTGAGGGACTTGATAGCTCCAGGGTGTTTAACGGCGAGTGCAAGAGCTAAAACGCAGCCTAAAGAGTGAGCCACTATGTGGAACTTTTTGAGTTTATAGTGAGAGATCACCGATTTCTCAATCATCTCTAAATGTTCTCTTAATGTATACAACGAGTCGTTTGGCTTTGGACTTCTTCCGTAACCCAAAAGATCGACTGCGATGAGCCTATAGTTAGATTTGGTTGAATCAGAAAAGTTTGGGAAGAGAGTCTCTGTCCAAAAGGAGGATGATGATAAGAAACCATGTATGAACACAACGTTGTCTCGTGCCTTCTTGTTATCTGCACATATACATATCCCATTTATTTTTTTTTGGTACCTTAGTATACATATGGGATGACGACAAGTATATGAGACTATTCATATAATTAATATGCTAATTAACGATGTTATACTTCTTGCAAGCGGTTTTGGTTTCGTACGTAAAATACTCATATTAGTCAAAAACGTTTTTTTTGTTTTTAATTGAGGTTTTGCCTTTCCAATGTTAAAGTATAATTTGTTCGAGATCTCCTGAATAGTCTTTACAATAAATAATTAGTTATTTTATTGTTATTTTGATAAATAATATAATGATTAAAATCTTATAAATTATATTTTAATTAATGTGTACAAAGTAAACAAAAATCACTTAATATGAAATAAATGGATTATGTTTTACTTTTATAAAAATGGTTGAGTAATTTGGAAATAGTGTTACCTTTGGGTTGCTGTACATTGACAAAGAGAGAATCTTTGGTAGAAGAAGGAAGCCAAGAAGTACAGAAACTGCAATGACAATCCGACCATCTTGGTGTTGTCGGAGATTTCTCAACGACAGTAGAATTCAAAGTCATTAATCTCTTTTTATTACGACCACAAAGCTTCTTCTTAGACTGATGATCATTATGATCACAAGATTCCACCACATTGCGTCTCATGATCAAACCCTTATAATTAAAGCACTTCACGGACCTCACGAGCTTCGAGAGCCTCATTAGAAGCGAAGGACCACGTGAGTAAAGTGTGTCCGAGATCTCATCGAAATGTATCTTTGTTCTTGTCATAGACACAACCTTTGAGTACTCTCCTCGCTCGGACACTATGATCTTCCCCGTCTTGCCTTGAGCCTCTAGTGGAGTAGAGCAATAACACGGTTTCCACTCGGATTCGAAGAAGAAATCTAAAGTCTTGTAAGTAAAACAAAGCAAAAAATCGATAATGTCGAGGAGAAAGAAGACGAAGAAGCCCACGGTGCGGTTGAGCCACCGTGCAATGGCCATGATGTGTGGTGGTGATGAAGAAGTCGTTTTGATTTGAATTTTATGGATGTGAGAGAGTGTTATATATATAAGCTGATGATGTATGAGATAGAGAGTGAGTATATATAGGAGATGACGGATAAACGAATTTATTGTTTCATTTAACATAATTTGCTGTCCAAAGTGATGAAATTGGGTGGACGTTGAATAATTTTTTGGGTGGGCAAACCCTAAAATAACTATTTTATGCTTTTTATAATTTTTCATAATATGTTTCTAATTCGGAATATATATGTACTTGGTTTCAAAGATTTTTTTAGGGCTAAATTAAAGTACTGCTGAACAAAAAAATGTCGAAAGAAAATGCTACTAAATTCAAAGCAATTGTATATTTTTTAGTTTTCTAAAATATATTTATATCCAAGACTTTTTAATAGTTCAAATAAATAAAACAATAATTTAGTTTAGTAATATAATATCTGTGAAATTAGTTATACCAATTTAAATGTGAGGTAATGTAATACCACACTTTAGTTTTGTTTTTAAAAACATTAATAGTGATATACTAAAGCAATTCTATTCTATAATGACAAAATTGTAACATATAATCATCAAATTTGTTTTGTTGTGTTTTGCTTACATCACTATATGTGTAATTGACTATTATATTTAGTTGAAAACAATCTATATATAAATATACATATATAAAAACAATTGTAACATCTATTTTTATTATGTATACATATAATAATTTCTCAATAAAAAATGAATATAGTATAATTATAAGAAATTAATTGATGTAGTGCTTGTTAGAGAACGCGCGAGATATGAAATGTCAAGTGTGGTCGTTGATGTGTCACATGTACAATTAATAAACTCTTTGCATCATCATTGTCTTTGAATATTAGCAAGACAGCCTAGCCTAGCTTAAAAGCTTGTTATCCTATTTCCATATAAATTCATAATATTGATAACAAAACTTACAAGGAAAGATCGACTGTTAATTTAGTTATAGCTTTGATTATTTGTGAGATCTACGATCCATACGTAAAATTCCATACAATCAATATGCACTCAAGAGAAATAAATCTTTGTGTTACTCGACCAAAGTTAGTAGTGTACGTAGACGAACCATGTGCTATATATCTTTTGAACAAGTCCTATCGTAACATACGTAAGCAAGAGGAATGGTTCAAAAGTGATCGTAATGTACTCACGAACCTTAACTTTACTTAAACCAAAACAGTACATCTCTTTCCAATGGAAAAGATTCGACAAATTGTGAAAACCAGAAAGATGGAGATCACATATAGAAGTTCTCTCAAGCCTTTCAATTTCATTTTTCTTCTTATTTGGCTATCACATTTTCAGGCTACTCAATCTTTCACAAATTTCATATTTGGAGATTCATTGGTAGATGTTGGAAACAACAACTATCTCTTTACACTGTCGAAAGCTGATTCTTCTCCTTACGGCATCGATTTTGGACCTTCCAATGGCCAACCCACCGGAAGATTCACTAACGGTCGAACCATTTCTGATCTCGTAGGTAAGTAGAGATGGAGTAGATTTCAAATTACATTTAAATAATAAAATGAAAATATTTTTTGAAACAAAATTATATATTAGTAAAACAACAACATTTATTGTGTATTTAAAAGTGGTTACTACATAATTAGATATAGATGTGGCTTGATGTAATGGTTAGCTACAACGATTTAATAGAAGAGGACCCTCCCCCTAGCTAGTTACAAACACACATTAAGTCAACGATTGATGAGCTGACTTGTTCTGAAGCATGTAAAGTCAGAATTGGGTTGGACCGACATACTGAAAACAGTAATGATAAAAATTTGTAATGTGGAGAAGTCAAAAGGCAACATTCATGGAGTTTGGTAAGGAGTTCTGTGTTGTGATTCATTACATTCTTTTGAATTGGTCGTCTCTTTAAATTGTCACTTGATGTTGGTTTTTGAAGTTTAGATGATGCTAATGTGTAGTTAATTAATTTTTTAACACATGATCACTTGATGAGTAATAATTTAAAAACTAAAACAGGTGAAGGCTTAGGAGGAAAATCAGCACCACCTCCATATCTTGAACCAAACAGTGAGGCTAACACAATTCACAGTGGAATCAACTATGCTTCTGGTGCGGCTGGAATATTTGACGACACTGGACTTTTGTTCGTAAGGCTCCCCATCATAATATCTAAATAAAAATAATATTAAATGTTTTTTTCTTTCTCTTTTTCTCTCTCTATTTTATTATATATATATATATATATATAGTGGATAAAAATATATTTTGATAAAATATCTGAAATAAATGTTCTTTCTGACAAAAAAAAAACAGAGAGAATATTCTAGTAGATTTAATTGATTGTTTTTGACAGATCGGGAGAGTTCCATTGAGAGAACAAGTGGGCAATTTTGAGAAGAGTAGAGAATATATGGTAAGAATGATTGGTGAAAATGGTACAAAAGAGATGTTGAAGAAGGCAATGTTCACAATCACAATGGGGTCCAATGATATATTAAATTATATACAACCATCTATACCTTTCTTCTCTCAAGACAAGCTCCCCGTTGATGTCTTACAAGATTCCATGGTCTTCCATTTAACCACACACCTTAAGGTACTTTACTTACTACTCAAAGTACACTACATTATATTAATTCTTAGAGATAAATAATGCCATAAATTCGGATATTAATGAGTCAACATTATTAATCAACGTTACATACCAAAATGTAAACGACGTAAAGTCATACTATTGGTGTCGATTGCGTGTTTGCAGCGTTTGCACCAACTAGGAGCTAGAAAGTTTGTGGTGGTCGGAGTGGGGCCACTCGGTTGCATACCGTTTGCTCGTGCATTGAATCTGATACCGGCCGGAAAATGCTCCGACCAGGTCAACCAAATCGTCAGAGGCTATAACATGAAGCTTAGACACTCTCTCGGGACATTGAACAGTGAGCTAAGATCCGAAGATCACAACTCTACATTTGTCTACGCCAACTCTTACGACCTATTCTTGAAACTTGTTTTGAACTATCGCCAGTTTGGTAAGAATTAGTGGTTTTTTTTTTTACTTATTCTAGTAACGGCCCATCATCATCACTGATTTTATTGAGTGAAACATTTTGGTTTGGTGCTTTTGGAAGGGTTGGAGAACGCAGACAAGCCGTGTTGCGGCGGCTACTTTCCACCGTTTACTTGCTTCAAAGGGCCGAACCAGAACTCTAGCCAAGCGGCTTGCGAGGACCGGTCCAAGTTTGTCTTCTGGGACGCCTATCACCCAACCGAAGCAGCCAATCTCATTGTTGCCAAAGCACTTCTTGATGGGGACCAAACTGTTACTACACCTTTCAACATCCGTTACCTTAACGATCTATGATTATATCTTCAGTGTAATTTATAAACACAAAAATATACTCAGTCACAAGTCTTGCTCCGTAATCACTCGCTAATAAAGTATAATAGTTTTGGGAAATATCACAACAAAATACAGACTGATATATTCAAAAGCTTAGTGAAGATAATACATTATAAACTGAACCAAAACATAACTCGAAACTGAGACCAAGTAACCGGGCTGTAAACTGAACTAAGCTTAATAACTTAGTTACCAGCTGAATGCATCTTTCGACTTCTCAAATTTGGGTTTGTATAAACTCTCTATTTCTTTCTGCAGACATTTCATGATCATGTATTGGAAACCGTGGGGAGAATTGTACCTTGCAGGATTTTAGTAAAGATTCTAGTAATGAGGATCTGAAGAACCTGATTGATCTCCCAAGTACACTTTTCTCTGAATCCGGCAGGTAATTAAATAACTGAAATTATTTATGCTCGTAAAGGCTAATTCGAGACATCTCAACACTGAATATATATATACGAACGTACCATCATCATCCACATCCATTTTGGAGCCTCCTGAGTTGATTTCTTCTATTAGCTGAAAATCGTTCGGTTGGAAAATGATATATAAGCTCCAGGACAACAATGTCTTTGTGATTAACTATTCAGATCCACACTCTAGTTATCATATTGTCTGATATTACCAGTGAAAGTGTTGGAACTGCGAGTGGATCAAAATTTTGGGACTCAAAAGAAAAGATGTACAAAGTTTTATGAGATTACAGTACTCACAAAAATATCCGGAGGGGATGAGATTGCACTTAAAACCGACATCTAAGCGCTGGATGATATTTAAAGAGCACAAGATTGGTCGAATCCATCTCTGCTCCACAACGTTGATATCGGCTATCTGTCGTAGCCATGCTACCTGAGACCACATAAAACATTTTATCTTCCGATGGGTCTTTAGAGCCCATAATTTATTTTTTAGGGGCGTAAAGCTTGGTTTTATAGCCGGTAGTATACCTTCTTCGTCTCTCTTAAGGAGTACATACCAGATTTAGAGTATGCCAACACAAACCTATCTGGTTTGTATGCCTTACTTGGTTTGGTGCTTTATATTTGCAGAATATCTTCCGAATCAAACAACTGGTTAAGAAGGTCAACCCGCCATACAGATGTAGCTGGATCAATTAAATGATGTATGTACAGGTCTGGGTCTCCTACTTCTCCTATGTCTAAAGCAGGTCTTGGTAGGCAGACCGGGATCCAGTTATCATACCACAATTTTGTGCTTATCTTAGAAATTATTGCTTTTCTCAAGCCTTTTTGAAGGAGCTATGTTGCCGATATAATACTCCACCATCTATTAAATGGGTTATTAGCCCTTCCAGTCTCCAGAGTGGTCGAATATCGATAATATCTTGTTCTTAGGACTCTCGCCAAAAGGAATGACATATAATGTATCAATCTCGAGAGTTGTTTTGCCAAAAGAGCTACATTAAAGCTTTTAAAGTCTCTGAACACCAAACCACCTTTATCTTGGCTGATACAGATTTTGTCCTAGGCAATCTAATGCATCCCTCAATTATCTTGTCTAGAACTCCACCAGAATCGGGATATAGTTCCATTCAGCTTCTTTAGCAAAACTTGTGGGAAAAAGAAACATGACATGACATAAGTAGGTAGAGCTTGTGCTACCAACTTAATCAGAACTTCTTTCCCACCCTTTTGAGAGTAGTTTGACTGACAATCCGAGTACTTAGTCTGTTTTGAATAAAGGCAAAACTTACTTTTTGGACCTACATATTTTCTTTGGTAACCCTAAGTACATATCCATACCACATTCTTTAAGAATACCTAGCACTTGTTTTAACTGTCTTTTTCTCTGGTGAGGCCATGCTTCCAAAGAGAATGGAAGATTTAGCATAGATTAGTCGATATCCTGAAGCTTTCCCATAGCAGTCGATAATCTTCATCAATCCCTCACATTCTGACTTATCTTCTTTGTAGAAGAACAGACTGTCGTCTGCTAAGAGAAGGTGCACGATGGGTGGGCAAGTCTTTACCACTTCAATCCCATTAATCCTTCCTTCCACCTTCGCACCTTTAACTTGGGCTATTAGATCCTTTGTCAGGATAATAAACAGAAAAGGTGATAGTGGGTCTCTCTGGCATAAGCCTTTTGAGGGTCCAATATTGGGTCTCTGAAATCAGCTTTGGAAGGAATCTTTTAAGCCGCTTGGATAAGATCTTTGACGTTACATAGACTTATAGGCCTAAACTCTGCAATTTCAGATGGTCTTGTCATCTTCGTGATCAGAAAAATATTTGTCTGGTTCAGTCTTGAGTCAAAACTGTCTATGTTAAAGAAATCTCTAACCACTTTGATGATATACTTCGAAGTTACTTCCCAAAACCTCTGGTAAAAGAGGGTGGTCATCCCATCTGGTCTTAAAGCTTACTCCAGATTTATCTCAAAAAATCGCTTTCTTGATTTCCTCATCAGATAGATAACTTGTAAATGCAGCATTTATAGCTGAAGTTACTTCCTCGGTAACATACTGGAGAGCCTCACCAAAAGATTAGGGTTGAGATATCTTGATCTTGGAAATACTCAGCTGCCACCTTTTATAGCCTTTCATTGTTTTCTACCCAGACCCCAGCAGCATTTTTGAGTTTAATGATCTTGTTTCTAGCTCTTCTTTGCTTAGTCATGACATATAAAAAATTGTATTCATGTCTCCTTTTTTTTAGCTAATTTGTCCGACTCTTTTGTTTCCAATAAAGTTATTCTTTGTAGAAGGCTATGCAAAGATTTCACTTAAAAGTCCGAAGTTCTTCATTTGAGACCAAATCATCTTGTTGAGCGATTTCCAGCTTCTCTTTGATCTCCTTAATCTTTTTTTTATTTTTTTTATTTTTTTTTATCGTATTTGATGGATTAAAGCTGTCCAATTCGATAAAGCTTTTCAACATCTCCCAATATTGCCATGCATGTCTGAAGTGTTAGAGACATTGGAGGTACCCCAACCCTCAATGATAGTCTCTAATAAGCATTTCCGAGCCATCTCTTATCAATTTCAAATTTATCTTTATGTTTCCCTTTCGCGATTGACTACGGGCCAGGACTAGCTGATGATCAGAGCTCCATAATTTTAGATACTCCACATGCATGTGGGAAAAATTATGATGACAATCTTCATTGCCTATGGCTCTATCCATTTTACATCGAACTCTACCACTTCTTCTTTTTCCGACCCAAGAAAATGAGTTGTCTTTAGTAGGGAATTTCACCATTCTGGTGTCTCTAATCATAGTATTGACAGGTATGAAGGATGTATCTGAGCGTTTCCGGCCTCCTCTTTTCTCATGGTGCCTTGTAATCTCATTAAAATATCCACTCATGAATCATAGTCCCAATCTCGTGGTACGTATCTGAGTAATCTGTTCCCAAACTAATTTGCGACACTCAATGACCAGATCACCATAGACACAAGTCATGAAAACTGAATTTCCTTCTATCACTACTTCCATGTTAATAATACGGTTATTCGAAAACAAAATCTTAACATTAAAAGAATCCATATAAAAAGAGCTAGTCTACCGCTTGTATCTTCTGTTCCACGGTGAACAATTCATTATAACCAAAAGTAAACTGAAAATCTTGCATAAAAGAAAGAGAGTTTTTTGTTCTAGAAAGAAAAAGAAATGAAGGAGAAAAACAGCAGTGCAGCTCTTGTAACTGTTGTTTGGTCACTTTAGCTTCTGCACCTTGATAATTCCATAAAATTGTATTCATATTCTCTTACTGAATAGTTTTTTAAATGGTTTCTAAGGCTCTACCAAACCTGAAACAATAGTCGTTTTCTTGCTTAAAGCAGAAAGAAACACCTCAAGAGACATTTACCTAATCCCTGTCTTTTCCTTTGTGATGTGCATCCTCTATTAGTGTATGTAATCTTTGAAGCACCCCCTCCACTAGCTTTTGGGGCTTTGTAGTGCGTGTCTCTTGCTGCCAGAACCAATATAGGGGCATTTACTCGAATGTTTTTTTTTAAAAAGTTTTCCACCTGAGCGAGCAGGGATTTCATCGTTCTGGACTCTGTTTTCATCGGCTTTATTTGAAGTTGGTGATGGGGTAATCTGTAAGATTGCATCGATTTTGGTTGCTTCACCCTCAAGTTCGTCCCCTCAGTAAATCATCATTGTCAATCTCGTCTTCATCCGTAGCATACAAGCGATCTTACACCGCCATCTTATCGAACTCCTCTAGTTCTATATCAGTCATAGGTGGTGGTGGAGCAGTCAAATCTTCACCCATATATTTCGATTCAAGCCCTCACCTATCTCCATTTGTACGATCCAGATTCTTCTTCTTTTCTATCGACTGTCGCGCCAAAATTGTTGTATCCTTTGTTTGCGGGCTCTCATCTCACCAAAGTACTGGACTTTTTCAGGTAACCATATTGCACCAGCTTTTCATTTGAGAGATCCATTTCCATCATCTGAGTTTTGGTTTTTAGACGTCTCTTTCTCACCTCCTATGTTTCAGTAGTATTTCCTAGACCCACGTCGGCCCTCTGATTGTTCTCCATATTCAGTCCAGCTAACTGATCAGATATAGTTCTCTAGGAGTCTGAAATTTCTTTTAAAGCTTATGTAACCAGCCAAGAGTCCTTCATTGGAGGTTCCTTGCGTGGTAAATGCCGAGACGTCTCCTCGTCTCTATTTACCTTTGGCGTTGGTCTCCACGTAGCACTACATTTTTCAGCTTCATGTCTCCTTGAAGCAATTTCTCCCTTTAATAGTCATTAATAACCAAACGAATGATTATTCCAATATAAAAAAAAAATTCTAATGGCTCTTTCTACTCTAACCTTTCCCACTAGTATTTTTTGCTAGATATTTTCCTTTGCTTTGAAAAGAGAAATTATCTTGATACTTGAGTAAAACTAGAGAAAGGTTAACAGTTATGGAACTCTGTGCAAAGTTTCCTCCAGCCCCATCCATTTCCATGACTCCTCTTAACTAGAGTAGTAGTTAAAATATGAAAGTAAAAGTGGGTTCATATTAAAAAAAGTCTTCTTTGTTATTCCTCTGTAGAGATGCATAATTAATATTGCCACGCAGCAGTTATCTGATTGCCCCCGAGTTGAGTTTGCCAAGCTTACGAGGTTGGTACTCAGAAGTTCATCTGTCAGAGTTGTAATTATCCCCTGTTTCTCTTAAAAGATCTATTTGCTGATACTGAAAGTCCCTATATCTCCACGTTCCTCCCTTGGTAGGGATCTCATACGCTTAAGAGTATCCTTTGGAGCATTCTACGGAGCATTCATAAGTCGCATAGAAGTTCCTTGAGTAATTTGTCCTGCTGCCTCATCTCTAGACTTTCTGTAACTTTGTCTTTCCTCTGTTAACACCTCTGGACAAGAGCTAACTTCGTGTGATATACGTTTGCATAAGAAGCAGAAACGATGAAGGCCTTCATACTCGAAGTTAAATTTACCAATGTCGCCATTCGGAAAACAAACACGTCTTTTAAACTGTAGAGGCTCGTTAACATTGATTGAAGCCTAAAATCTTGCATTCTCCGCATCTGTTTTGAGGACTCGTCCCAAAGATTTCCCAATGGCCTTGAAGGTTTCATCGTTTCAGTAATGGACCGGAACACCTGTGACTCGAAGTTAAAATGGCATGATCTAGTTAAAAAAGCCACCAAGACTGGTCTGTGAGGGTTAAGAGAAAGCAATCTCTTAACCTTATTAGCATAGTTTGATAGTTGTCGACCAAATCTACACTTTTGTGCGTGAAAAGTTACGGCTGTGGAAATTGCCCCTTTTATAGCCAAAAACTCTAAGAGGAGTATCTTGGATTAATGATTTGGAGAATTTCATTTTTTTCTTCTTCTAAATCCTCTCTTATTGGACATAGTATATATATATATATATATATATATATATAAAGTATTCAAAATTTCAAGTTATTAGATTAGTAATTTATAAAAGTTCTCTCAAATTTCACCTTATTGGAAAATAATGATTTCAACACTAAAATATATGAAAAACAATTTGGAATGATTTGTGAGATAATTTATAGTTAAAATGTAATAGCTTTCACATACCACCACATACCACCACATGAGATATGTTATTTGAGAAAATAAAAATAAAATCCTAAAAAAAATGAAAATCACTAGAAATGGATATCGTTTCTTCGCCTAATACTGGAAATCTAAAGCTCTTGATTAATGTCCAGTTTCTAGGATTAAATCTGATTGCGGAGCAAAATCAGAAAAGTTCAAGAGATGGGTTGGGAAGATCATGAAGAATACAAGTGAAAGTGGAGTCGAAATCAGAGAATTGTATTCGCCTGCTCCGATACTACACCAGAAACTACTTGATCTAATAATTGAAAATCGGTTTCAAAAATCATAGAAATGGTTTCGCCCACAGTGTCGTAGATGCTGCTTATATGTTTACTATTTTCGATATTTTAATTTCTATGATTTAACTTTGACCACCAAAAGTAACTATTTAAGATATATTTTTGGGACATAGTGAAATACCATTAAGAGATATAATTAAATTTTAACTATTATTTAAGAATTATGTTTAATGAAAAATTTGATATGTCATCACTTTAAGAAAAATTAGTGTAAATTAATGGTGACATGGAAATATGACATGACAAATTTCCTAAAATAAACAAAATATTTTGATTGGTTGAATTATAATTAAATAAATTATAAAATTATCACATAAATACATTAGATTATAATATTAAAAATAATAAATTTAAATTTACAAAAAATAATAATTACAATGATTTCAATTTATTTTTATATATACTAGAAAACAAACTCACGCGTCAACGCGCAGATAAAAAGTATAATTAAAATAAGAGTTTATTTTTAAATATTATAAGAAAAATTTTTAAAGTTTTTATATTATTGTATATTGTGATTACTTTTTATGGTGTTTCTGCCATAGCCTCATGTCATTCTTCATCACTTTCAAGTAATCCATGAGCAACACATGATTTTTGAAATCTTTTATATTCTTTTCTATTTATAGTTAACATATCTTCAAAACTTGTAGGTTCTTTTAGGTGATTAATTAGAATTAACATTATACAATCTTCGAATTGATTGACTCTTTTTTCTTTTTGTCAATGTGTGATCTGATTTATTCCAAACATACCTTGACGAAAATTGAACACATGATAACTTTTTGGCATCCGGATCTGATTTGTTCATCTCTAAATAAGCCATAAACATACTTGGTATGCTTTCATAATTAGTAGCAACACTATTTAAATCACTTGAATTATTAAAACGCACAAGTTGCTGACAAGGAAAGTGTATGCTTAGTCTCTGGACTGGAGGATGTTGATGATGTATCTCAAATTTAAAAATTCGCCACATCGATTCACAAGCGGATTCATATCGACAATCAAGATAATTTTCAATCTCATTTATATCGTACTTAACTACATTAGAATTAGTTGTACTGTTATTGCCATTGTTTGTCAACGCCTTTAGTAATATACTTGATTAGATATTTAATTGCACTTGTTTTATTGTAAAACTCAACATTAATATGTGCTCGAAAAAGTCGTAGTAGCTCTAAATTATGGGAAACAACATACTGATTATCTAATTTGATATCATCTTTCATAACATAGCTAGACATTATATCTCTACGCCTATATATAATGTATTCTTTTTCATCAATACATGATGAAAGACAATATGGCCGGGAAATTTTTTTTAGTGCAAACACCATTCTCCATACAAGAGTTATCTGGTCTATTAAGTCCACATGGTCCATGCATCAGTTGTTCTACTAATTCATAACCTTCAGGATCAATTACTCTATCAAGCAATGCATCAGTAACATATTTATCAATATCAATTGAAGAAGCAATATCATGTCCACATTTTAACCATATAAGAATATATGCATGGGGAGACCCCTTTTTTGAAACTCAATTGTATAAACTACTGCTGGAAAAAATAAAAATAACAGTATATAAATAATTAGATTTTGTCTTAAAAATTATAAAACTCAAACATAAATATAAGTACCTCCATTTATTGGTCCAAAAAATCATTCTTTTTAATTAAAACCATTAACTCATCTAATTTTAAATGAAAAACATGTGATTCATTATCAGGCCTGTCACTGGGTGATGTATCATCGGTAATTTTTAAATATTCATTTATTTCATTCCATTTAGGATTAGCAGTCATGGTAATAAATAAATCAGAATTTCCAAAATAACTACAAATCGCTATTGCATCTTGATATTTTTCTGTCATATATCTTGGACTTCCAGTAATTGATGTTGTCATTATAATTTTTTTACAAAAACGACATGGATCATGATCTCCCTTTGATATGGTGTCATTTACATTATTATATACATCAGCTCTTATTGCCTTTTGATTAAGTTTAATAAATGTCAGACTGCTTGCCTCAATAGACGTAAACGCATCTACAACATATTTATGAAATAATCTACCACTTTTCAGAATAGTGGATGCTTTGATATTTCTGTTATGTATATGATACATATAATATCTTGTCATTTTAACATAGCCATTATTGTGATAGGATGATGACCTTTGAACATATGATATTCCTTTGAAGAATCCATAAGAAAGTAATAATGGATATTGCAAAGCCATATAAAGAGGTTGAGTTGCCAAGATTCTTTGCAAATTGTCTGATTTATGTTGAAAAAGAACATTTCGTTCGCCAATAGTATTAGAAAAATCACCGATTATTAAACCTGCTATCTCATTGGCTGATGGCAGATTATATTGTCTTTTCCTGTTATCATATCCTATCATATGAATTTTTATTTCACAAATGACCACTTTCATATTTATCTCTAGCTTTTCTAAAAACTTTAGCTAAAGTGTTATTTTCATCAAGCATATTAATTAATGATGATAAAAAAATTTCATCTAATGAATTTTTACCCTCCCGATTCATAATTGATAATCGATTTTGTAATTCATTAGATGTATCAAATATATACATCTGCAAGAATTTATGCTTTTCACCATCAATTGGTAAAAGAGATTCAATACTATGATAATTTTCACCATGTACCTTAAAACAAAATAGAAAACCATAATTTAAGATTGAATAATCTATTTCAGCACCCATAGAACACATAGAGAGCACTGAATTATTAAAACAAATTTTAATTATTATTAATTAATTATATAACAAATATGTAAGATTATATATCATATTATTATAATAATCTATATATTTATAATAAAAGATGTGTAAATACCTGCATCTTTAATTTTTAATTGACATCCTAAAATAAAACAAAATAAAATAAAAATAAGAATAAAAATTTATAATAACACAAATAAAACTTAAATCCATAAAAATAACAATTAAAATTAATACCTCGTTCGTTAAAAAATTCTGGCATCCCAATATTTATATTTTCATTATATTCGTGTTCATTTTCTGGACGCATTAAAAAACTATTTAATTTATGTTTTTGGAATACATACATCTTCTGTTATGATAAACTTTATGATTAAACCTTGCAAAATGACACTTTCCTTAAATAGTATTTCGACCCTTATTAAGCTTTGAGTTAGTCAAAAACCATTGTAGGATAAAACACAGTAATTAAAATTATGATATGTGTTTTTACAAAAAATGTTTATGATCTTTTGGAATAGTTAAACTCTCTCTTACTTTCTTTTTTCTATCTTTCTTTACTTCAATTTGTTTTCTGTTTTCTGCAATGCCCACAACTCCTTTTATAGGAAACCAAATGTCACTTCCAAAGATTACAATGGTTGATTAGGGTGCAATGATTGATCATCAACTGGTGCAATGGTTAGTCACTGAACAATTGCAACGGTTAGTAACGAAATGGTTGCAAATATTCATTTTACCAGTTGCAATTATGATATGTGTTTTTCCAGAAAATGTTTATGATCTTTTGGAATAGTCAAACTCTCTCTTACTTTCTTTCTTTGCCTCAATTTGTTTTATGTTTTCTGCAATGCCCACAACTCCTTTTATAGGAAACCAAAGGTCACTTCCAAAGATTACAATGGTTGATTAGGGTGCAATGATTGATCATAAACTGGTGCAATGGTTAGTCACCGAACAATTGCAATGGTTAGTAACCGAAATGGTTGCAAATATTCATTTTACCAGTTGCAACGGTTTTTCAATATGTATATGTTAGGTAGACATAATAAATCTAATCTTAACTGTTAAATTTGCAAAAAAAGATTGTTAACCATTAGATTAATGTTTTTTTAGCAACCAAAACGAAAAGTCACATTGGTTCGTAAAGTTGCAATGTTTTAACTATGTGCATATTCAGATTTCATCTACATTTTTTTAACATTTAGAGAATAATGTCAGCAGTCAAATCCTAGCCATTAAATTTCCAAATCAAAACTAATCGAAACAACGTCAACCGTTAGATTTGTCATTTTTTTCCTACAAAAATGATGACATCAGCAGTTCAAAAAAGTTTTTGCTATTATATATAGATTAATAATAGATTGCATAAAATATGATTACAAAAATTTTAAAATCAATATATATTTTATATTTTTATATAGAAAAATAATAATAGATTATACAATAAGATAGTATATATGCTATATATTAATAATGTTAGGAGTATGATATATTATTAGTTGTATATAATTTTTTAATACTTTTATATTATTGTTTTCTGGAATTTGCGTCGTTTACTTTACCATTTCATTTTATCTCTTATCATTATTTTAAATAAATTAAAAGCTTATAACATACTCATATACAATCTCATTGTAGATCGAGAATTTGAGATCAGAAATAAAAAGCAATCTAACCGGATGAAAAAATAAATTATAAATAAGAAAAAATACAAATATGAATAAGAAGTAGAAATAAAAATAAAAATAAATATATACTGTTTTGTTTTTTCCGTAACACTCTTAAATTTTATTTTACGGAGTCATTTAAGAATCTTAAGAAAGAAATTTTATAATAAAGGCATGTGTGGCTCAAATTTTATAATGAACACATGCATGCGGACCAACCATAATTGTTTTTTTTCATCAAACCAATTCCTCAATATTGGACAAAGAGATGAGCAGAGAGCTACCAGAGAATTTTATAAAATATAATTTCATAATTTTTATAACAAATATTTATTATGAATTTTATTTGATATAAATAAAATATGAATAAGAAGTAGAAGTAAAATTAAAAATAAATCTTTACGATTTTGGTTATCTGTAAAAATCTCAGATTATGTCTTTGGTTTAAAGCATCTCTAACCCACTTTTATTTTAAATCTTCTAATTTAAAGGAAAAATAGTGATGTCATTTTTTCTTCTATAATTGGAGGAAAAAGTAACAATCTTTCTTTTTTCTTTTAAAATAGGTTGAAAAGAGATCCACATATATTTTAGAGGAAAAAATAGAAAAATATATGGAAGATGATCTTATTGTTTAATATATTATTCAAGGTTAAGAAACAAAATATGAGTCAAAGAAGACAAAAAAAGAGAATAAGTTTGATCTGTTTTGTATTTTTATTTTGAAATATTTAAAAAATATTATCATACATATATTAATTCTTGCATGCATATATTTTTTCAACATCTTAAAATATTATTTCATAATTTTGTATATGTTATGATCCATTATATATAAGATTAACACATATATCAAAGCTAGGAATAGAAAGAACTCTTATTTTTTAAATATAACAATTAAATATTAAATATATTATCTTACACGTTCAATTATACACATATAAGTTTAGGATCCAGCTGGTTGAAACACTGCGCTTACAGAGAGTTTGTGGGAGCGAGTGATTGCAGACTATAAAAATTTTGACAAAGAGATGAGCGGAGAGCTACCAGAGAATTTTATAAAATATGAATTCACAAATTTTATAATAAATTTTAAAATATTTAACATTAAAATATTTAAGATCATATATTTATAAAAAATTTTAAAATTTTAAAATTTTTATATATTAAAATAGTTAAAATCATATATTTAACATATAAAATATTTTATAACCCATATATGGTACGGACCGATCACATAGTTACATGTATGTTTTGGAATTGTATAACTAAAAGTTATATGAATTGATCATTTGTAATGTATCTTTCATTTTTCTAAGAGGGATCAGCTTCACATACATACTCTTAGAAAAAAAAATTATAAAGCAGCTTCACATACTTTAATTATTTTTGTTAGTGAATTTAACGTTTTAAACCATAACAGAGTAAGTCGTTACATTAAGCTGTGTGGTTGCAGAGTCAGCCACAAAACTATCTGCAGGAGGAATATATACATAAACTCAGCTCTAACTGATTCGAGAGAGATCATGAACATTACGTGGCCGCTAAGATGCTTTGAATTTCCAGAATTTTATTGCAGTGATTAGCCACAATGATTTCATGGGACATTAACCGAAAGGACCTTTCTTTTGGTGTAAGATTATTATTAACCGAAATGATTTTTTTTACTACAATATATATTTTTTACTCAAATTTTAAAGTACACATATACATTCGGTTCTATGATTAATTTAAGTGTCGCATATATTGGTTAATTTTAAGATTTAAAAGCATATTATTTTTTAGTTGTCTTCCATAGAAGCGCACGCACTAAGGGAAATATTTTATTTCTCATAAAATAAATTCCATCATCTTTGGCAACCCAATCACGTGTTTCACCACATCGTGTTTTATGTTTGGAATCTGCATATACTTCAATGTTATAGAATGATTTGAATGCAGTATAACCCTTACCTTCTGGGTCCTGCCAGTATTGCAATAAACACTTGTAAATTTTCCTTCCTTTGTTGCCCTCAAATTCTTTGACATAAGGCTTATCACCAGAGTCCATCTGTATTTGGGGTAGACTATGGTAATATTTATTGCCAAGATAAAAATGGCATTTTATGTTGAGAAGAGTATGAGGCGAGAGTTGGTTGGATATTATAAAAGAATTTAAACGACAAGCTCTTGATTCATTGAATCCAGAATACATAACAATAACAAACATAAAAATAATGAGATAGTTCATTTTTTTTTCTTTTTATGTAAAATGGTTTATACTTTAAAGTAATGAAAGCATGCATCAGATTTTTTTAATTTATAATCATTTTGTGTGGACAATCTATCTTTTATTATATAATCATTTGTGGTCATAGCTAAATTTTTTTAAAAAAAATCATTGGTTATCCAAAATTTAAGCATTAAAAAGTATCAGTAAAATCATAAATCTAAATTAATTTAATTTGTTCATACGAATTTTTAGCACCGAAAGTATTGTTGACCAGTAGAGGTAAATATTATTTACTTTACTAATTAGAGAAATTCCTTGAAATTAGACTGTCATCAATGGAATAGGTTTTTGTATCAAAAGAGTAGCGAAAATGCTCTGTATCATGTGGATAAGCTCCAAGCTGTTTGCAGCAAAATAGAAACTGTGTCTCAGCTACATGTGATCGATGGTGAAGATCACTCCTTCAAGATTGGGAAGAAGCACCTTGAGACAACGAGTTTAACACAAGATCAAGTTGAAGATGTCGCTCTGCAAGCAATAGCCGCCTTTGTCTCCAAACCTCTTGCTTGCTGAAAGGTCATTATTAGTAAAGCATTTGCAAAATAGGCTGACTCAGTTATTATTGTTGTCATCCTTTGATAGACTACATTTGCTTGGCCCTGCCCTGTACATTTCATTTCCTAATTGGCTATATGTTATCAGTTTATTAGTGTTGTTTAGTTTTGTAACATTATTGCTGATATTGACCTCCCCAAGTCATAGCTACTTCAAGTCTATTAGGCCAATATACAAGCTAGCCCGGAGACAGAAAAGAGAGAAAAATACATAAATCTCTTACAGATAGATGTACAGTTTATATATAGACACTTTTTAGACTTTAGTTTACAGTTGAGACACTCTTTTACTATTGGCACACTTCTCTTTATACTTTGTATCCCTAAGTTCCTTTGTTGCCTTTCATCCTCATGACAAGGTTATTTTTTTTAACAATGAATGTTGTTTAACGAGTGATAATGGTGACCATGAATGAATCCGGAATTACATCAATCTATGTCGATCTCTGTAAATTTCACATTCTCAACCAGAATGTTTGTTCATTGTCGCTGAGGAAGATGAGGACACTGATCTCCGCCAATTTCGAATGTTTTTTTCGTTGTGTAAATACACGCCAATTTACATCAATCTTCGTTGATCTCAGATGATTCTCTCCATCGATAGAAAAAGTATCAATATTTGCTCTTAAACCAGATTTGTTATGAAGGTTGGTTAAAATTTCTTGGAAAAAAAATTGAATTTATGTTGTCGGCACCGTTACAGAAAATTCAGATCTATCGATGAAGAAGATGATGACGGCATCATCCACATTAGTGATGAATGTGATAATGTACATATAGATAAAAAGTTATGGATTGTTGGGAAAAATGTAACCACTATGTTGATCCACTCTGCCATGATCTCGTGAATGATCAATTGTGGACAACCAATTTAAATTAGTTATACTTTTAAGTAAAAGTAAAGTGCTAATGAATGTAATTTTATAACATAACTGAAAAATCATTATGAACACGACGTAAGAAAGCATATATGGATTTGGTGGATACACTTTCAACACTGTAATCAGTGTGGACAAAACAAAAAAAACCAATTAGACATGATAGAGTTAACATAGTCGTGGTAGATATAAGTTGGCTACCCTAATACTCTGATGGACACAATATCATAAACATAAATACAATTGTGTGATGTGTTGAGTTTTTTAAATTTTGTGTTTGCATAAACTTTTTTTTGTTATGATTGGTGGCTTGTGAGCAATTTTTCTTTTATAATATTTAATTTTTTTAAAGAAGAATATACTTATTACAAGTTGAACGTCACAAAATCAAATTTACTAAGAATTCTAGTTGCCAACAAACTTGAGGTTTTATTTTTTCATCATTCTATAATCACAATTATTATAATGGATACAATGATAGTGGATAATCGAAAAGCTAAGTAACCAAATTTATTTGTTGCTAATCTAACAATAAATGATATGAATGCAATCCAATGAATATGATGGAAGGCGGTAAACAATATGCGTATACATGTATACATGTGTCACATTATGGATATGAGCCTATGTATACAAGCACAAATACACAACCATGAACACACTATAATAGATGCAATACATGGACACATTACTATAAATACAACGCATAAACACATTATTATAGATATAATGCATGGACACATTATTATGAGAAAATCTTCTCCGATTGTTTTGGCTCACTTAACAAAATATCAAGATGAAAATGTGGACAATCTAGAGATCTTAAGAACGTACAAAGTATCTAGTGGATCTGTCTGCCTAAATCTTTCATGTTATAAGTTAATCATTGAATCACTAGTTTCATACATCTGCACAACCGTTATAGTTTTTGTTTTAGTTCTCTTAATCCCTAAATCACTTGTTTGGGGTTTGATACACTTAAAGCTGGATTCAATGTGTAATGTGAACTTTCTGTGTAGATATTGCTGGAGGGAAAAAAGAAAAGTTCCCCCCCAAAGGCTGAAAAACTGATTGAGTTTCATGTGTATCTCAAGCCCTTTGATAATTTCTGGCAAATCAATGTAGAGATCTTTTTGTCCTCTCTCTCTCTCTCTCTCTCTCTCTCTCTCTCTCTCTCTCTCTCTCTCTCTCTCTCTCTTATTTTGATCTGCATGAAAAACCTTGAATCAGTTACTACTACTTATCGTGGCCTAGCACTGACTTATGTACATTTTTCTTGCTTTGAAAGGAGTCTTGAGTTTGTTTTCTTTCCTCGTGTGTGATTAATTGTAACAAGAAATGAGATTTATTTATATAAAAGAGATTATTTGATTTTGTTTTTGCCTCTTTTGCCATTGCTTTACTCTTATTATATGTACACATTATCTTTCATGTAGTACTCTAAACAGGAAAGGAAAAGAAAAAGAGTAGTGGCCACGATGATTTCATGAAGCATTTGACCGAAAAAACTTTTATTTTGGTGTGAGATTATTATTGACCGAAAGGACTTCTCTTTTGATTTATTACAATATATACATTTTTATTATTTATTCAAGCTTTAAAGTAGATATATACATTCGGTTTTATCATTAATTTAAGTGTCGCATAATACATTGGTTAGCTTTGAGATGTAAAAACATATTATTTTTATGATATATTCCATAGAAGCGCGCGCACTAACGGAAGTATTTTATTTCTCATAAAATAAATTCCATCATTTTTGGCAACCCAATCACGTGTTTCACCACATCGAGTTTTATGTTTGGAATCTGCATATACTTCAATGTTATAATATGAAGTGAATCCTTGATAACCCTTACCTTCTGGGTTGTTCCAGTATTGCAGTAAACAATTGTAAATTTTCCTTCCTTTATTGCCTTCAAATTCGACGACATAAGGCGGATCACTAGGTCTCATTTGTATTTCGGGTAGAGGATGGCTCTTATCCTTCCCAAGATAGCATTGTATGTTGAGAGTAGTATGAGACGAGAGTTGGTTTGATATTATGAAAGAATTTAAACGGCATGCTCTCGATTCATTGAATCCAGAATACATAACAATAACAAACATAAAAATAATAAGATAGTTCATTTTTTTGTTATGTAATGAAAGAATGCATTAGATTTTTTAATTTATAATTCTTTTATGTAGAAAATCTATTTTTACTATATATAATTTTTTGTGGTCATAGCTAAATTGTTTAAAAAATCTTTGGTTATCCGTAATTTAAGCATTGAAAAGTATGGTTAATCAATAAAATCATAAATCTAAATTTTGTTCATACGAATTTCTATCACCAGAAAGTATTGTTGGCCTATACTAATTAGAGAAATTCTTTAAAATTGGATTGTCATCAATGAAATGGGTTTTTGTATCAAAAGGGTACCAAAGATCTTTTGTCCTATGGATAAGCTCCAAGCTGTTTGCAGCAAAATGGAAACTGTGTCTGAGCTACATGTGATTGGTGGTGGAGATCACTCCTTCAAGATTAGGAAGAAACACCTCAAGACAACGGGTTTAACAAAAGATCAAGTTGAAGATGTCGCTCTGCAAGCAATAGCCGCCTTTGTCTCCAAATCTCTTGCTTGCTGAATGGTCATATAATAGTAAAGCGTTTGCAAAATAGGGTGACTCAGTTATTATTGTTGTCATCCTTTGATATAATACATTTGCTTGGCCCTGACCTGTACATTTCAACTCCTAATTGGCTAATGTTATCAGTTTATTAGTGTTGTTTAGTATCCTTAATTAAGCATCACCTCTGGCTCATTTCTGTTGTCTTTTTATTTTGATTTTTGTAACATTATCGCTGATAGTGACCTACCCCAAGTCATAAATACCTCAAGTCTATTAGACCAATATACAAGCTAGCCCAGAGACAGAGAGGAGAGAAAATACACAAATCTCCTACGGATGGATGTACAGTTTACACATATAAACACTTTTTAGACTTTAATTTACAGTCTCATGCATACATGCATACTTCTGTACTTTGTATCCCTAAATTCCTTTGTTGCCCATCATCCTCGTGATAAAGTTTTTTTTTTATATATAACAATGACTGTTGTTTTATGAGTGACAGTGGCCACCATGAATGAATCCGGAATTACATTAATCTATGTCGATCTATGTGAATTTCACATTGTTAACCTGAATGTTTGTTCATTGTTTATGAGGAAGATAAGGACACTGATCCCCGTCAATTTCTAATGCTTTTCACGATTTGTAAATACACGCCGATTTACATCAATCTACGTTGATTTTAGACGATTCTCTCCATCGATAGAAAAAGTATCAATCTTTGCTCCTAATCCAGATTTTTATGTAGGTTGATTAATTTTTTTTGGAAAAAATTAATTTATGTTGTCAACATCGTTACAGAAAATTCAGATCTATCGATGAAGAAGATGATGACGGAATCATCTACATTAGTGATGAATGTGAGAATGTACATGTGGATAGAAAATTGTGGATTGTTGGGAAAAATGTAACTATCATGTTGATCCACTCTGCCATGATCTTGTGAATGATCAATTGTGTACTACCAATTTAAATTAGTTATACTTTTAAGTAAAGGTAAAGTGCTAATGAATGTAATTTTATAACACAATAGTTATTGACAAAATAATTATGAAAACGACCTACGAAAGTATAGATGGATTTGGTGGAGACACTTTCAACACTTAAATCAGCATGGACAAAGCAAAAACAATTAGACATGATTGAGTTAACATAATCCTTGTGGATGCATTCGTGGTAGATATAAGTTGTTCACCCTTATACTTTCATGGACACAATATCATGAACACAAATATAATTGTGTGATGTGTTGAGTTTTTAAAATTTTGTGTTTCCATCGACATTTCTTGTTATGATTGGTGGCTTGTGAGCAATTTTTCTCTTTATTATATTTAAGTTTTTGATAGAATGATATACTTGTTCATGTTGAACATCACAAAATCAAATTTACAAAAGATTTTAGTTGCTAACAAATTTGAGGTTTTCTTTGTCCATCATCCTATAATCACAATCAATATAACGA